ACTACCAAAAAAAATATATATATTTTTTTAAAGTTCCTGTCCCTGTCCCTTGACAGCCTCTACCTTGCTGTCACCCTGGAGGCTCTCACTTGATCCTCAGACTCACCAAAAAAAAACAGGGTGGAGCCATGAGCACCACACTGGTTCATTCATGATTTCTTTCTCTCTCTCCCTCCCTCCCTCTCTCTTTTTCCCACCACCTTCTCTCTTTCTCCCCCTCCCCTCTTGGCTGATGTAGGGTAATGGTTCAAGGTCAGATTCTGCAGATAGGACTAGAGGAAGTGGCCAGACAGTGGGGCAGCGTGCAGAACTAGTCATCACCGGCACTAGGCGGACCCCTGCCTGTCCCTGCAGCTTGGGCTGGGCCCAGCTGGCCACCAGCCAGCAAGGTCAGACTTTCCCGTCCTCTAGAACTTTGTTGCCCCAAGGAACCTGCCTTCCCACCTCTCAGGTCAGAGCAGAGAGGCCCAGGCCCCCCTACGAGGAGCAGGAGGATATTACTACTGTGAAATTAGTAGGTTCTCAGTAGGTCTGAAGCCCCTGCCAGGTGCTATTTTATTTACGACTTAATAATCCTAGTGGTGGATTTTAACAAGAGTAATAACTGAGTGCTGTGACCAAAGCCAGGTGGTCCTGGGGGCACCTGAGACTCTGTCTTCCTGGGGCTCTGCAGGCCCAAAGGGACAGAGGCCTGGCAGGGGGTCAGGAGGGACAGAATAGGGTCCCCTGTGCTCCCACACCACGGTTCCCACCCGAGCAGAGCGGTGGGCTTCCCATCCTCAGAGGTGCTCAAGGCGCTGGGCAGGAAAGCTGCCCTGGGCCTCTGCCCCTCCCACGGTACTAAATGACATGCCCTCAGTGCCCCTTCCAACCTGAGCTTGATGCGGGGTGCAGAGGCGGGTGTTTCCGGTCAGGCTGGCTGGGGTCCCCGCTGCACCCTGGCCGGGGCCAGTTCGCTGCATCTCTGAGCCTCCGTCTCCCCACCTGCTAAACAGGGGTGTGCACAGTGCCAGCTCGGAGAAGGCGCTCAGCACAGAGAGGCTGGGACAGATAATATTGTTCGGATGGGGACGGGCCTGGGTGTGGCCCGGGCACTGATATCACGCCACTGGAGCCAGCCACCAAGGACTTCTGGGGATCCAAACTGAGGTGGGGGAGGGAAGCCGCCGACAGGGTGTGACCATGCTCAGCCCCAAGGCAGGGTCTGCCTGGGTGGTGGCCCTGTTATTTTCAGGGGAAGTGGGAGGGGATTTTGTCTCCAGCATCCAGGACAGCAGCTGCCGAGCCCTCCCTGGTGAGAGCTATTCAGGGGGAGGCGGGCAGGAATGTGGGCACAGGGCCAGGCTCCCTCTGGTACCGCAGAAAAGTGCTGCGCTCCAGCCGGCCGCGCCGTCAGTCCCACCTGATAGCATTGGCCTTGGCACCCTGCAAGCTGGGGAGTGTGGGACCCTGTGGAGGGGCGGTGCAGAGGCTGGGAGAAGGAACTCAGAAGGTTCCCCATGCAACGGCCACCGTTACGGTGGAATCAGCAAGTTTTATGCACCTACTGTGTGCTAGCCATTTTATATCCCTAGTTGTGTCACTTTTTAAGAATCCTAAGGGTAGATGGTAACAATGACAAGGATTGGTCATTATAGTTACTGTGTCATAGGAAGGGTTTGTTACAGGCGGGAATCCACTTGAATCCTCTTTTTCAGGCCTCATTCGAGGAGAATGAGTGCTTTGACCCAGATGGGAAAATTGAAGCTTATGGGGTTAGGTGGCTTACCCAGGGTCACCCAGCCAGCAGGTGGCAGAACTGGGGTTTGAATCCAGGTCAGTCTCAGTTAACCCTGAAGACCTGGCAGCTCCCCAGCCTCAGAGCGCATCAGGCCCGAGAGCACACAGCGTACGTCGTTCACAGGAGTCTTACACACCTGGCCTCCCCCAGCCTTCTGTCACCTCACCTTGGTGATTGAAGCGTTGTTGGCACTTCTGCCACTCCTGCATGGTCCCCTTGGGGGTCAGAGGCTGCCTGGGATGGAGCCCAGCCCTGGTAATTGATTGACTCTTGATTGATACAGGCAGCGGTTCACAGTGCGGTTTGAGCCACAGCCCAGCCAAGTCTGGGAGCTGCCAGAGACAGAGGAATCCAGAATCCAAGTCTCCTTCCAAGTTTGGACACTATCTGCACTTCCTCTGAGACC